TTGAAAATATCACTTTTTACCAAAAATGACAAAAATATTCACCAAAATTAGAGAATTGAAGATATAATCATGAAATGAACAAATCTGAGAGAGGTCTACCCAAGGTACATATACACCAAGTATCAAAGCATTCAGGCTTGTAGTTTTCAAGAAGAAGTCGAAAAAATAAAACCTTGACACGGACGACGACGGACAATCACTCATATGATAAGCTCCGCTCGACAAAGTCGACAGCGGAGTTAAAAACAATTTAAAATTACACCGAAATGACAACGGGATGTTGTTTTTAGACATCGCAGGAAATCGTGTACTACCATTCTGGTTACCTCTTCGGAAACTCCTTGCCACCTAGCATGTACCGGTCGCGATATAACAAAGCACTGAGGTACTAAGCCAAACCACCAAATGGCGATCGCTATATTTATTACTCTAATGAATATCTCATCGGCTTTATGTAATCCGTTATGTTCCTCCCTTAGTGGCATTGATAACACGACATCGTGACAGTTTTCATGTAATGTTGTGACTTCCCTCAAATTGTAATTATATTTATTTTATTTTGTCCGTGACGATTGAACATCAGTAACCGTCGGTGTGTGGATTTTGGCATTTGGTCGTGATGCGATAGCCATTTTTGTGGACGATAACGTCACTTATATAAAAACGGCCATTATCTCCATTCGAGTTTTCTGGTTGGTCAGAGATTGAAACATAATTAGATCTCGAAGTTTTTGTCAGTTTGTCTTGAAATTTTCACACTATTTCGACGATTTCTTTATGAACAAATAGAGGCCTGGCACCCGAAACATCCTGCTTGACAACTTTGTAATATGAAAATAAAATAGACTATTTAAACGCCTGGACCCGGATTTGTCAATTAACAACTGACAAACTTACTGTGAAAGTTTCATGTGAGAGATATTCAGAATTGAACATCCCTGACAAAATGAAAAACACAAGTAGAGGTAATGGCTAATTTGGATAACCATTCACTCGGGAAGAATATTGCTAATTATCATAATTAAAATGGCTGTAACAGTTCCAAATTTAAACCTATTATCGTTTTAGTGAAAGTGAATTATAGTGCATAATATGGAGATTCCGCCATCACTTTTTTGGTTTTTTTTTATTTACAGCCTTGCTAAATCTTGCTAGGCTTTAGAAAGAGAGAATGTTTGTACCCGTTTTCTATTCAAAAATATTTTTAAGTTTTAACAGTCTCTAGCAAAAAAACAAATCACTCCAAGTGCCCACGAATCTACATCTATACCTTAAATAGCTACCAAAAATAGGTGCAGGTGTTGTAAATTGATGTTGTCTTGTTTCTTAAATCAATAATAGATGGCAACTACCATTATTTTACACATGCATGTACAATATGGATTCATGACATACATCAAATGTGCAAGTGCAAATGACTTGTTTTATAAATATGACTATTATTGCACATAATAAACTGTTCATATCTTCATTGTTCTTCTCTTCAATTCTCTCCATAGCAGCTCTCTTTCTCGTTTAGCACCCGCTAGGACGGCTCGATTTTCTGATGCCCGTCTTGACAAGTATGGCATCACCTGATCCACTGTTCCCACTGGCAGTGACTTGTATGCTAAATACCCTGACTGACCTGATAAGACACAGTAATTGATATGAGTATAATAGTTATGCGAGCAGGAACACAAAATAAACACCAATTATTCGTGACTTATGTAAGGTTCATCGAGGACAATTACGATAATGTGAATTGAACTTGTACATAAATGAGAATATCACTTGTATTGGTACTTTACCTAAGGCATATGATACTTGATCACACATTCCTAACAACTGGCCAAAACAAACTGTGCCATCCGTCTTATCAATACCAAGTTCTGTCATCCTGTAAACGAGTAGTTGTTAAGTTATATATAATATTATTGTATGGTACCATAAGTTACAGCATGTCGTGGGATTGTTAAGCGGGGATATGTGTCTAACCATAACACGATGTGCGAATTCTAAGCGAATAATTTCCTACTATGTTCACTATTCGGCCAGTTCTATGCTTCCTATACCAATCAGTTGGATCGGAAATGTGGATGTGTTCTTACTTGTTTACGGCCAGAGTAAGACTTTCTTCATTGTGGGTTGCTACAATCATACTGTATTTTCTGTCATGTGTTTTGATTAAATTTAACATCATGGTCAAGCTCTTATTATACATTATATGTGTAGCTTCATAATCCTGGTTGATCGGATCTGGTAGGTATATAATAAAACGAAAATATATATATTCGGTAGTCAATCAATGGAGTTAATTAAACTTCAGACTACTTATTATAAACTATTTTTATTCATTGATTTGTCTACACAAACAGAATATATGCACATACAGTTTCAATCCATTTGAGCAGACCGTTTCGACACAGAAAAAAAAACAGGTCTGGGTGTTCGCGATATGCATTATGGCAAGTTTAGTTTCAATCCAGCCAATGGTTATTGGGATATCATTGGAACAAGATTTTAAACAGACATACCAGGTCTATTTCACCAATATGGAAATTACTTTCAGTATTTTAAGATTGCCACGAACACTGTCACACAAGGACACCAAAATGATACAAGCATTGTAGTAATACGGATGAGTTAAAATGCTATCCAATGTCGTAATATCAAACGACACACATAGCATGGATAGAGGAACTAGTTGAAACAAGCAATACATATTTGTACATACAAATTATGTAAATTTCATGGTTAACATGACCTGGTACTATTTTCATTAGTGTAACAAACAACAATCACAAAAGTCAGTTAGTGGGCGATGGATTGACTACCCGGTTGGCTTAAAAGTCGGATGTTTACCTTCATATCCCATTTCTTTGGATCGTAATCTTTCTGTGTCATTGTATGCACCTCTAACCAATTTTACACCAAATGTGAAACCTAATTTCTCGGCCATCGCAATATCTCTGCAGATGTTGGAATGTGCAGCCTGTTAATATGAAATCAGAAAGTGTATGTGTGGTTACGTTATGGTGTGTTTCAGGACGCTTAAATTATGTCAATCTGCGCATGGGAACAGCGCCCTCGCGCAGACAAAACTTACAGTTTTGCCGCTTGAGAGCGCCCTACGCAAGCCAGATTGACATGAACTGGGGTAACTGGTATCACAACGAATCAAATTGTCATATATATATGATTTATATGTAATCTGCCGACATTTCCCAATAACCCAGTATCTTATTAGCACTCGCACCTGGCTTGAACAAGGTATTTTGTATTTTGAAATATTATTTTCGGCAGTTAAAAACATGTGTGCATGTTTTGTTTCTTTCCTTGTTATATATATAATGCAAATTAAATTTAATGAAATATGCTTGCTTTACATTACCAAACTGTTTTCATTTATATAATATAATTTCTATTATTTCGAGCAAGGGTAAGGTACTGTACCGGGACATAGACGATCCATAGACGCCCATGCAGTGACAAGAATAGATCGTCAGGCCCCTGTGGCCAATGTGACACATTGTCTGACAATACACTTCAAAACAAACTTTAACTGAAGTTCAAGGTCAGCTAACAAATGTTTACAGGTACATTTGGCTAGAAAGTCAGGTCGGGACAGTATATCAGTGACAGGAAACTGCATGTGACTTACTCTGGAATTTAGTGTTGCGCATTTGCATAAGCAACGTGTATCAATGAGCTTACCTTGAGATACGTTTGATATGTGTTCCATATCAAAGGTTTGGTCTGGTTGTATTTATACATTAGTGCTAAGCATAACAGAGTTATTCCCATATTAAGGTTTATATACTCTGCGTCTATCTGCAGCGTTGTATTATTATCTACAGCATACTGTCAATGAACAACAAATCAATAATCTTATGATAAAATATAGATGAAACGTATTTCAATATATGAATGTTTGTTTATGTCCAATCGTTAGAGCGCCATTTATTATTGAAAACCACCTGGACTAATCAATCTCTATACAGGAGAATACAATTAATTACCTGTGAAAGTAGCTGTGATTTTGAACATTTTTTAGTCAAAGATAACCGTAAAGAGATGACCAAATCTCACCGAAGTGTTGTTTTAAACACAATTACATGGACAATAGTGACCCTACACAAGGCTTGATCGGATAAAATACTAACGGTCGAGTAGTCACCATCCGTGAAATCGGTCAAGTAGACAATTATGACGCACACCATTGGCCTTTCAAGAAGGTGAGGTATTTGACGTGATTTTGCCCAAAGGTCACGACAAGCTGTCATCTTGTACTGTAATCTCCGAGGTTCACTTGACAAAATTGGATTTCAATGGATGGCGCCCTCTATAACCTTGATTGCGACATCGGGGAAAAAGGATTAAAAAATACAGCTATTGTCGCTTTAATATATTAAATAACTTAAATATATTAATTACCTGTGCCAGTCTGTCTAAACGGTGTAATGTATTATTTAGATGTTCAAACTCAGTATCAGTTAGTTCAGGAATTCTTTCTATCTGTAAATGCACGAACACAAATTTCAAATAAAATAAGTGATGATAGATAATACATGAAGAAATGGGTGGGTAAACATCAAAACTCGATTGTGTTGGCAGGGAACTAGGCAATAATACAAAAATAATCATCATGGCTAGCGAAATTGATTATTCCTATAAGCTGGGCTCATGTACCTTTTTATTGACTTGATTCAGTCCTTTGGCAAAGTTCTGAATACTTATTGGTCCCCCGTCACCGTAGGTATATCCATTCTTCACAATCAGCTCACCAATTTTTATCTGATGAATAATAATATAACATAATCAATAATAGACAAGCGATTGTGTGTCATGATATCACAATGAAAAACGCTAAGTATGTACAGTTCACAATCATAATCTAGCAACATCAATGATCTGTGACAAAAGATGTGAGTACTGATTAATTGCAAACCTACCAACACTTCAGGCCACACCAAAGGACTGACTCGTACTTGCATCAGAATAGGCTTAGTGTTATCACATACTTGTAATGTCTGGTCGACACACCTTTCCATCACTTTGATGTTGTCAGCACATATTATGTCCCTGTCTTCGTCACTGGGAAATAGATTTTAAATATAACAGTATTAGTATATAATTGAAATACTATAATGTTGCAGATACACGAGTCCATGAAGATGTACATCACACGTAGCCATACAAGTACATGGGGTGGAGTTCATTGGTGATGTCCCATCCCATAAATCCAATGATCTGATTGGTCAATGCACTCGATTCGAAATAAGTGTTGTGATTTCATAGTTCATTTGATCAAAGACACTAGTGTCCTTGATTGTATCACTTTACAATACTTATTTGCCGAATAACTATGAATTTGGTAAATATTGTTGTTTCCGCTATATATCGGTAATTTCAGACATTGATCAACGTGCGTTTTGGTAATGACGTCGCATACACTGAACTCGTCATTTCGCTGATTTGTGGTAAAAAGTGTAAAAATCTACTGAAATTGAAGGGTCACTCTTGACACATTGTATTTATAATCATATTTACGATGAGGAATTGGGGAAAATCACCTGAAAGCATTTGTTTTGGTCACGAACACCCCTTATTTGAATTTGAATTCTCTAGACCCACATAGCTTTCTCCAAAAATAAACGTGGATTGTGTTGTGATGTACTTGGCTTCAACAACTGATGTATGATATATTTTCACACATGAACATCACGACAATAATAATATACTCGTACACACTTAATTATTGAATATTCATATCAGGCGATTAAAATACATAGAACATAATTAACACTTGAGTATTGCAATCTCATGAATATCATTAGAATATTCAGGCCTAATCACTGCATCGTTGTGCTTAAATGAGGCCCACAAATATAAGGATATTGCATACCATACATGCTTACACAAAAATCACAGCTGACAGCGCAATGAATTGTTTCCTTACCGAATTATTAAATTATCAAGTACGTAGTGCTGTATACACATAAGTTTATTATTTCAACTACGTTATTCTGTACACGTCAGCTCTGATACACCATACTCTGTCATGTCAGTATAACAACGAAGAGTTCCTAGGGAATCTTTTTCATAATTATGTATACAATTATCTACACATAATGTATAAAAAAATAGTTTAAATTATATTCTGTTTAATTTCCTTGTTTAATATTTCCGAAATCTCACTTCATTCATTCGTACTTTCGTTCATTCATTCATTTAGCTAGGTAGAAGCACGTTACCTGACATTAGGCCCACCAAAACCATCCTCGAGTGGTATGGATATTATTGGTGCAATACCAGCGAGCTTGAGTCTCTCAACACGCTTCAAAATAGATGGGATGTCATGTCCAGCTACAAACTGTCCGTAGAAAGTAGATTTTAACAGATAATATGATAATTTTTTACCGAGAATCATCTGTGAGATCTTCATTAACTGTAATTGAAACAAGTGGAAATCAGCATCAAGCTTCAGATAAAAAGAAGTTAACAATTTATTTTACTATTTATCGACATAAAATATGAAACAAACGTAAGGCCAGGTTAGTATAATACTACAAATGATCTTAATATTCATGAGGGATTTATGCACAGAAAACTAAACATTTGGACAGCATGCACACTTAAAGTGGAAGTCAAGGCGCTACTTATTTGTGTGTTTTTTTATAAACATACTGATTTAAATTATGAATGTTAAAATTTATTTTATATTCTTATATATGCGTCTATGGCACAGGTATGGAAGTAATTATTTGAGTTGATAAACAACGCACACATATACGTAGTATCGGGTACTTTTAAAGATGTATTTTAACCGTATTGTGATTATAATTCATCTGAAAGTACTACAGACGTCACGGTCGTGTCGTGTTTTTGAATTTTCTGTGATCAAACAATTGTTTCTTTTTCACACTCATTGTATATGTCGCACTGGACCCGTGTACACGAAGCGTCGTACCAATTGTGATGCAGTGTAAACGTAGTTCATATTGATATTTTCACAGTTATGTTTTGAAGGAAAGCTTCTCCTGTAGTATATATATATGATTTCAATAGTATTCCTATAAGATTCAAATAGTATTAAATACGACACCATTAGTATTATTATACATGCACATAACTCTAATGATATTCCTAATAATCACATATTGCATGCATATGAGGGCACTAGTATACATCTACCCTGTCCCCGCGGGACTGTGGATACCTATTATTTCCATAGGCCACAGGAAGAGGAAAGGAAGAGAAAGTCGATTGTCGACAAATGAAAACACTTTTAAAATCACGTCGAGATGGCCGTGAAAGTTTCTAAAAGTACGTGGATACATCATAAATATTGACACGGCCAAAGTCTGCCCGACCACAGTCCCTCTATCCCCGGTCTAGAAACGGTCATTGTATTAGGTGTGAATTGGTCTCCTTCCCTGGCAAAGGCGCATTGCGGGTGTGGGCAAAGCATTGTCACGTGATCAGTACGTGATTTGACATCGTCCGTGTTATGTATTTTTTTTACAACTTAGTTGTTTATTGCAGAATTCGTACTTTTTCACATAATTTTTTAATCAGGATATCTGTATAAGGTCATATTTTAGCCGGCGAGTAGTTCTTTAATTCATCTATTTTACCAGTAACGACACATTTTCGCAACAAATTTTCATACCTTTACCCAGATATTTGTCGTTTTTGATTTTGGGGTGATTGAAATTAACTCAATTTTATTTACCATACTTCTCGGCGCGAAAACAATATTTGTCTTCGATTTTGACATTTTATAATCGAAACATATC